AACGCTTACTGAACCCTCCTATTTAAGGTAACGAAAATGTAATGTTCTCTTAATGCAACATACAAAATGAAGGTGCACAACAATGGAATATCTAGAAAATAATACCCGCCTCAGTGGTCAGGAATCCTCAAAAGAAAATAATCGTTTTGTCACCTAAGCCAAAATACATCAGTAATTCGAATAGTAAAATACCCATAAAGCAATAAGCGAAAATGTCCTTTGAGTTAACCCAATGTCTAATTCCCCTCTTATTTCATAGCAGTAAGATTTTTAATGATGTCAGCAATGCACGACATTATTCCCTAGCCTAACTAATACAGCTAGTGATCCCTCCTCAGTCAGACCTCCTCCACGTCATCACCACGGTCGGCCCTGTTCACACCTGAAACAAATAAGGTAGAGGGGGGGGGGTGAGTATATAAAATACTTCGTAAGTAGCCCACCCTAACTAACACCACAACACGCTCGTAATCACAACCACATCAAATGAAAACAATAGCAGAACAAACAGATAGGCAGCATGACTGGCATTATGCTGAACGCACGCACTAAGCGTGGTAACAATTCTATAGATGCAAGCGCACACCTGTCAGAGTAATATAAAATGGATGGAGTATCCAAGTATCGATCCTCAAGGACTTCTAAATAATTTCCAAACTCTAAAGTTTTAATGAATAGTRAAYGTTGAAATGAGTGATTCTTGTAAAATGGGAAGTGGTCACAAATAATGGTTTTGGATTTGGGATTTGGTCTTATAATGGTAAAACCTAGCCCGAATTACTTCAAGTTAGCCAACAAAGAATCAAGGATACGTTAAAGACGATATGCATTTTACTTTAGGAACCAACGACTACGCTTTTCACTTGACTTATGTCTAAGCAAGTTCAAAGTCTTAAGACATTCCCTAATATGTCTATTATGAGAGATATCTTAGTTTTAGGATGGAAATAGTCACAACCTCGGGTTAAGGTCCTATGTCTAGGCTACTTAACCAGAACCCTTATGTCTAAGGCGCTCCTCTCCTCGGTTTAACCACTCAACAATGCAAATAAGCAACCTTTTCAGTATTGACTTGTTAAGACTTACAGTGGCCTTCTCTAAATCCTAACTTTTTGGGAAAACATGTTGAGCAATGAGTGGAAAGCAAAAACACTACTTCTTAGCAACCCTTTTAGAAATAAAAGGCTAACTATCCATAACCGGGCTAGAGACGGGAATTTAGAAAGACATATTGAAGAAAATACAACAAGTAAAATGGTTGAAATTGAAATGCATGTGTGAAAAACAAAAGTTAACTAACGGAGAGTCTTGCTCGGGATTGAGAGCTTCGCCCTTCTCTTTCAAGCAAGGGGGAGTGTCACGTGCTCTTTCCTCCAAAAACACAAYTCTCTTAACTAAAAATAAAGTAAAGGCAAAGGGAAGATAAGCAAAGTGCTGGATTTTTATATATTTKAATAAGTAGRAAATAACTAAGTACAAACRGAAACAAAACAAAGCTCAATAAAGGAATGTAAAGTGCTCGGGATTTAAAAACYAAAAGCAACTAATGAAAGCAACTCAAAAGTACTTAGAAAGCAACAAAGAAACACTAAAAATGATCAAGAGAAGGAAGCAAGGCTTGATGCATTTGGTGGAGAAGCTGCTGGAATTTATAGCTGTGCAAAATTGGTTAGGTAGGTCCTAAAACAATGGTGAATCACCCATTTCCAACTCATTTGATTGACTAAATCATGCTCAAATTGATAGTGGAACACTTCTTCTACACGTATGCATCGGTTGGAACCACCAAAACGCATTAGAAGACGCGTTTCATTAAGGGCAAAGTTGGAAGAAAAACAGTTTTATGCAGCCTTCCCAGGCGCCGGGCGCCTCCCATGATGTTTTTCCGTCTTTTTGCTTCTTTTGATTAATTTGCACTCCAAAATGGTCCTAAAATGTCATAAATACAATATAAGCCAACCACAAACGATCATATATGAATTTTGCATGAATTAGAACTCAAACGACCGAGAAAAAGTCCGTAACAAAGTTAAAACATAGTAAAAACAGCATCTAAAACCTTCTTTTTACGCATGTAAACAAGCGTAATCACAGCACGGGATAATAATAATAGATTAACATTTCCATACAAGCAACCCAACGCCTAGACTTTCGGGCCTCCAACCCACGACCCACTAGCCTTTGTCCCTACTTGAACTAACAATCACTGCCACCCTATGTTGGTACTCCAAGTCTAACTTTTCGAGGCGTAACGGCTCTTGACCTTTATTCCCAAGATACCGACCTCCCTCTACAATGTTTGGTGTTCGACCTTGCCATTTATCCCCAAGGTCTTGAACTGTTACTCATAAGCACCACTCCACGTTAGTCCTCCAAGTCTAACTCTTCAAGTCGTATTGGCCCTTGACATTTATTCCCAAGGCTCCAATACTTCTCTAGAGAAGCTTGGTGTTCGACCTTGCAATTTATCCCCAAGGCCTTGAACTGTGCACCAGTCCTTGACATTTATCCCCAAGGTACTGATGACTACTCGGCGTATTGGTTCTTGACATTTATTCCCAAGACCCCCAATACTTCTCCATAGAAACCTGATGTTCGGCCTTGCCATTTATTCCC